CCCACCCGCCCACGCTCTGCCTCTGGGGTCGCCTGTTCCGGACATTTCGCATAGGTGGACATACCCAACAGGCGTCCTTTTCCGCCTGGCTTCTTCGGTCACTGTGTCATTGCCTCGTGCGCGTGGAGCCGGGGCCAGCCTCCTCCCTGTCATGGCTGTGACCTTCCAGTGTCGAACCATTCTGGGTGTCTGTCCCTCAGCCGCTGGACGCGTGGGCTGTCCCACCTGCCGTGTGCGAAAGGTCCTGCTTAGGTTTGGCGAGCATGATCCATCCACATGTTGGGGAGTGTTTTCTGGGGGAGCTGCTGCAAGTGCCCCGGAAGAGCTTGTAGGGGAAACGAGGGGCCCAGAGGCACAGGGTGCTCGGCTGCCCACTTCCAGGGGGTTTCCAGGAGGGGGGCTGCGACTTCCTTCTTGGGCCTGCACTTTGCCGAGGGAAGTCAGCAGGTCCCACAGAGCGGAGGCGAACAGGGGCCTGGCTGCTTCTCCCCACTTGGTCCCCAGAGAGAGACAGGCAGTTACTTTTGGTACAGTTACCTCGACACGTTACTGTACATGTCGGGAGGCATGAGATACAATCCGGTGGGCTGTCTCTTTTGCTCATGGAGCTCAGGCGTGCCCAGGCGTCCTCAAGGGGCGTGCAGGAGCACGGCTCACTGCCATGTCTGGGCGAGGTCACCTTCCGTGACGGGCCCAGCGGAACAGAGAGCTCAGCCCCGCAGCCCCACGTGCAGGCTGTGGCCTCTGGGACTGTGGGGGACGGGCGGGGCTGGGGTGCCTGCCCCTGCTTAGCCAGTTCCGCCCCCTGAGACGCCCCCTGAGACACCTGCAAGTGTCTCATTCAGGGAAGTGCCTCGGGAGTTTGCGAAACAGCACAAAGTGACCATAACACTGTGTGCGTCTGTCCTGCTAACAGGAGAAATCACCATCATCGTTATCATCGTTACATACGTTTAAAAAGTGATAGCCCCTGTGTAGCGTTAACTATACCAGACGTGACTGTTCCCACGACACCTGCCTGTCTGGTGGACACGGCTGCCTGGCCTGTCCTCCTCGCGGCTGCACGGGGACCCACGTGGGCCCCACACCTCTCGCTCCCCCCTCCCGCCACGCGTCCTGAGGACCGATGGTGACCTGTTCCAACCAGGGCCGTCCCCTGCGTTCTGCTCTGCCTCTCGTGGCTACAACACCTGCAGCCTACGTGGACGAGGCTCCACTGGGAGCACCGTCCCCACATCGCAGATGAGAGCGTAGTGGCACAGAGAGGTTAAGTGACATCCTGTGGTCACACAGCAGCCAGGATTCGAGCTTGGGCAGACCGACTCCAGAGCAGTAGGTGTTCATTAAACGGTGGGCAGGCGGATGACGCAGCCAGCTGTTTCCTGGGCTTCTGCCTTTTCCTGTTTCACTGGTATCTAGTCCGTGCTGGTCCCCAAAAGTCCCAAACTGAACTCACTGGTATCTCAAGTAGGCACTAGTCCGTGCTGGTCCCCAAAAGTCCCAAACTGAAGCTGTCATCTTCTCCTCCATCCCTGTCCAAATAGCAGCCCCCCAGGGCCCAGACTGTGGGTCCCAAATACCATGGCTGGTCAGCTCCCCAGTGAGCTGTGCCTTATGGGGCCCACCGCTGTGTCCTTTCTCTGACCGAGGTCCCGTGTCACGGGCGAGGCCCCTCCAGCCCCCTCCTGCTGTCCATGGTGCCCACCTGGCTGCCGGGTGCCCACGAATGCTGCATTTTTTCCTTTCGAAGCTGAGCCCCATGCCGCTTCTGTGTCTCGATGCGTCGTAACTGTACCTTGTCACCCAAACCTATGAGCTTGTCCAGGCAGGGACGCAGCTCAGGCCTCTAACCTCAGCACCGCCGTGGAGCCCGCGCCCCATGGGGCCCCGTCACCGGGGGCCGGTGCTCGCTCCGACTTGGCAGTGAACCCGGAGGGAGCATGGGCCCCGGAGGAAGGGCTCTGTCCAGCCTGTGCCCCGTTTTGGTCTGGAGATGCTGAGGCTGTGGAAGACATGCCGAGATCTTCCGGGTCGGGCGGTGACGTGTTGCTGTTTCTCCTCCTCTAGGACGAGTACTGTTTCTACAATGGCAAAGCGCCCTGGGAGCCGAGCTGGCCGGCTGCCGGCTGCTTCATGCCCTTCGCCGTGTGCGTGGTGTCCAGGTTCCCCTACTACAACGCCCTCAGGGACTGCCTCTCCTGGTGAGCTTGGACACGCTGCCCTTGCGACTGCTGGGCCACCGCCTCCAGTTGCTGCCCGGTGGGCGGGCTCAGGGCTGGCCACAGATGCTCCCGTGAAAGCTGTGTCTTCGGGACGTGGTAACGCGTGGGAAGCGTGATGGGAGGGGCAGGCGGACGCGAATCAGCACGGCGGCTTTTCTTATGTGGTTGGTTAAAAGCGACGT